TTGACTCTAAGTGCAGACGGGGGTGGGGGGGGCGGCGCTGGGTAGAGCTTAAGAGCTTAGGCCTTCCGACCTGGGAGCCTGGGAATTCTAACTTCTCAACCTAGAGCTGTGTGTGAGCTCTAGGCCTCAGTTTCCTCATCTGTCACATAAAGAATAATTGAAATGACCTAGCATCGTCGTGAGAACTGAGACATGGAGGCAAAGACTCTGAGGCCTGCTGGCTGGTCCTGTTAAAATGGAATGCACCCAAACACGGAGCGAATGTAGCTTTTCTCAGGTTGGCATAGGAGGGAGATCCTGGATCTGGCCGCTTTCCCTTGACCAGCAACCTCAGAACATCTGAGGGCGGATTATTGAGGGAGCCAGCTGGGTTCTTCCCCAGAGTGAGGTGCTAAGCAGTGGTGTCCTGGGCTGCTCCCTTTCTTCTCTTTAATCTGACACCCTAGCTTCTGGTCGGAATTAACCATTTACTGCTGATACTCCTCAGTGTCATTCCCAAGCATCATGAAATACTCTTTGGTTTTGATAAAATTGTCGGATTTTGTCCTTTTTTTTTTTCCATTTTTTAAAAATTTTTTTGTGAGGGAGATCAGCCCTGAGCTAACATCCGTGCCAACCCTCTTTTTGCTGAGGAAGACTGGCCCTGAGCTAACATCTATTGCCAATCCTCCTCCTTTTTTTTTCCCTTTTTCTCCTCAAAGCCCCAGTAGATGGTTGTATGCCATAGCTGCACATCCTTCTAGTTGCTGTATGTGGGATGCGGCCTCAGTGTGGCCGGAGAAGCGGTGCATTGGTGCGCGCCTGGGATCCGAACCCGGGCTGCCAGTAGTGGAGCGCGTGCACTTAACTGCTACGCCATGGTGCCAGCCCCTGTCCTTATTTTTGTTTCTATTGGCTCAGAGAGAGAAGGGGAGGGGTGCTTTTGTCCTGTTGTAGCAGCTTATGGACTGAAAAATAGGAGTAAAGGAGGGGCTGGCCTGGGTGAGCCCCACCAAAGCCTCCATGGGACCATGGAGTGTGGCTTGGAATGGGGGCCCATGTGGGCAGCCCTCCCGACACGTGTGTTCTCTCCCAGCAGATGTGCACCCCCAGCAACACACCTGCCACACCACCCAACTTCCCCGACGCACTGGCCATGTTCTCCAAGCTTCGCGCCTCTGAGGGCCTGCAGAACAGCAACAGCCCCATGACGGCGGTGGCCTGCTCACCCCCTGCAAACTTCAGCCCCTTCTGGGCCTCGTCCCCGCCCAGCCACCAGGCCGCCTGGATCCCACCCTCCTCCCCCACGGCCCACAGCTTCCACCACCTCCACCACCCACAGCCCACGTGGCCCCCCGGAGCACAGCAGGGGGGCACCCAGCAGAAAGCCATGGCTGCCGTGGATGGCCAGAGATGAGACTGGATGCCGCCGGGCACTGGGCTGGAGCTGGGGGCAGTCCAGGGTCATGGGGACACAGGAGGGCTGGGGTGGGGGGAGCTGGGGTAGGTGGGGGTTTCCTGAAGATCGCACTGGAAGATTTTATAAAAGAATTTTTGTGGGTTGGGGGGACAGTAAACTTCCTGAGCCACTTGGGTCCTTCAGGAGTTACTCTTCAGGCAAGTTTTTTTTCTCTTTTTAATATATAACTATAATATATATGAATATATAAATATAACTAATGTATGTGAGAATGGGGCTGGCTGACCAGGGTGTTGGGGTCAGTGGGGAAGAGGCAGAGAATCTTCCCCTGGGGCCGGCACGCCTTCCTCCGCCTAGTCCCAGGGCAGATGCCTGGAAGCCAGGTGTGTGATCCTGCAGTCATGAGGTGTCTGCTGGCTGCCTCCTTTCAAAGGTCACACCTCTGGAATCGGGAGAAGACCACTACTGATCCACTCCAAGTAGTGGCTGTGGGAGGGGCTCCCAGAGCCCCTGGTGGCTGAAGGTGTGGGGGGCCTCTTTGCCATCATGAGGGTCTCCCCCTCATGTTAGTGGCTGGCTCCTCAGTGACTCTGCAGCTCTTGTCGCCTCTCCTTGTGTCACCTGTCTCCAGCTGGCTGTGCAGGGCTTGTGTGGAACTAAAGAGCTGGCTTGGGTCAAAGGCCCAGGCTCTGCCTGCCCGCGGGCTGGACTCTCCACAGCCACCCTGCCTCCTGCTGTGTCCGCCCCGAGTGGATGACAGAGTGGGGAGCTTGCCTTTGGGTTTAGTTCCCAAATCAATCATCTCACCAGGGTGAAATTTTAATTTAAAAATTTAAAAGAGACTTTTCTAACTTCCCTGGTTTGCAGTGCCTTTATTTACCTTGGGAGGAAAAGCACTCTCCTTGGGAAGAAGGGTGGTGGGCTCTGGGCTTGCTGCAGTTGGGGGACAGGTTCCATTGCCATGTGGCTGGTCTGGATGTTATGACAAAGGTGTCCAGACCAGGGGGTTGGTAGGACAGGCTGGATCCAGTTGGGTGTGGGGAGGGAGAGGAAGGACCGGTCCTAACTTGGTTACTGTGACCCTCTCCCCTTACTGGCCCTCGCCGTGTAGCCCACCACACGCCAGCCCTCAGCACTCAGCCCTGGTGCCTTGTCTTCATCCGCAGTGCCCTCTCCACCTGGTGGCCTGATGGCAACCCCACCCTTCTGCCTGGCCCCCTAAGCATCTTCCAGCTGGGCTCATCTCCATTCCTGCTCTCAGCCTCATTTGGGGTAGCGTGTCCCCATGTGCATGTTGTGGGGCCGTGCCCCAAAGGTCAGCCAAGGCTGTTGGAGCCACAGAGATAGGGTGGGTCCCCAAAGGGACTGGCTTCCTTTCCCTTCCCACTTTCCCCACAGCCTCCAAGCATTAGAACACAGGCAGCGTTGGCAATTCCTGGCCCAGTGGCCCTTTCTCAGATTTTTCTCCAGTGCAGGTGGGCAGGTGGGTGAGGAGGAGCCTGTTTGCCCAGCTGTAGGAGTGGGTGGCTGGCCCCAGGGTTGGGATTCCTCGATGAGCCCCATGCTGGGGAGGAGGGATGCAGTCTTGAGCCCCGGGCCCCCAATATCCCTTCAACACGTGTGTGTGGGCTTGTTCTATCCCTCTCCCTCTGTCCTCTCTCAGCGGCCGAGCACTGCAGAGGACACTGCTGTCAGTCTGGCTGGAGAGTGGAGGTTCAGGCCCAAAGTGAAATGACATTTGAGAAAGGCCCTGCCTAGTGAGCCACCCCACCCTGCTCCTGGGCCTTCTCATGTCTTCTTAAGCGTGCCTGTGGGGCAGCCCCTGCGGGAGTGGAGCAGAACGGTGGCGCAGCTGCCGTCAGTCCCTCTCCATGTGATGGTGTACTTTGAGGATGGGTTTGTCCTTTCAGTTTTGTTTCCCGATTGGAAACCCCTGAGGCTCCTCCCACCCTACCCCTTACCCTGCCCACGTGTGCTTTCCCAGGCTGGAAGGGGAAGCCCCTTGCAGGCACGTGGGCGGTCAATTCTGGGCCTTGAGCGGGGTCCACCCCAGTGCTGGGCGCAGCCTGGTGAGGCAGGCAGCCGGGCCGAGGTGTAGGGGTGGGGGATTGGCCTGGGCTGCTTGGGGAATGTTGCTCCCTGTCCTTTGGTGGGTGTGGGGGAGGCCTGGGTGTGGAGGGCTGGTCTGTCCCTGCTGCCACTCCTCCCTGCCAAGCTGGTGAGTTTGGGTTCTAGGCCAAGGACACTGAGCCAGCCACCTTCTGACATTTCTCGGCAAGAGAAGGCAAGCGAAACGGGAGCCTGAGCAGGAGAGGAGGAGGAGCTGGCCCCGGCTCTGCCTCCTGCTTGCAGGGGAAAAGGGCACTCGGTGTGAGGGGTGCCCACCAGGACCCCAGGGTTCCAGCTGCTCCCCTCTCTCTAGCCAGTGCATTACGTCATTACAGAGATGAACGGGATCTCAGCAGGTGGGGAAAGAAGGGGGAAGCCCCCTCCTGCAGGGAGCACCTTCCCCACCCCATGACACCTCCAGCCAACCCCCACCCTCCTTTGCCCACATGGGGTGGGACAGGGGAGAAACCCTTTTCTGGACTGTTTCCTGCCACACTTTCCCTTCCTGTGTGATTCTGTCACCCCCTCCCCTCACACCCTAAAGCGGGCCTCTTGCCCCAGACATCCCTTTCCCATGTCAGAGGGGGAGATGGGGCCTGGAGGTGTGGGGAGGCCCACCTTTGAGGAGGGAGCCGATGTGAGACCTGAAGGCAGAATACTGCTTGGATGACTTTGGAGGGCTCAGAGTTGGGGGCAGCTCTCCCTTGTCCCTGAGGCTTCGAGTGGGGCTGGGGGCTCATCCCTTACAGTTGTGCTGGACTGAGCTCAGCCCCACCCATGCTCCTCTGTCCCCTCCTGCCTGCCAAGACTTTCAGCACAAAGGACTTGGGGGACAACAGTGAGCCCTCTTGCCTGTTTGGGCCTAGCAAAGATAAGCAAATGGAGCTGAGTGGGCTGAGCTAGGCCACAGGCCACCGGGCAAATGCCAGTCACCTCGAAAACCCTCTTCCAACACACAACACCCTTCTGCTCTGTTTTCCTGGGGAGGGGAGAGAAACAGGGAAACTGGCAGCCCCTATGTCTGAGCCCCTCCTGCCTCTGCAGCAGCCACTCCAGGGTAAGCCACAGGAGATGGCAAACAGGAACCTTCCCAGGTGGCTAGTGGCACTGCTCTCCTAGGACGCCGTGCCAGGAGCCGGGCACTACCCTGAGCCAGCAGCGGGAGAGCAGCCGGCAGCTGCCACCCTCACCTTCGCTCCAAGGTACGGCTCGTGCACGGACACCATGTGTCCCAAACCTCTCCACAGCGCCCCAGTCAGCGAGGCCACCCTTTAGGCCAGCCTCCCCAGCCGAGAAGGCAGAGCTGGAGCCAAGGCAGGCAGCAGCAGCCAGGTCTAGCTGAGGTCAGGGCAGAGCTGGTGGGGGTGTGACAGCAGGCCCCACCCAGGCCCACCAGTCCCCAGAGCCTGGGGTCTGACCTGTGTTGCCCCCTCCCCACCCTGGGTGCAATGTTCTGCTCTCCCGAAGCCCCAGTACCCTTGGAGAACAGCTTAATCTGTTTGGGGGCCTCTGGTCTAATTCTCGGGCTACAAGCCAGACCCACTCTCCAAGAGAAGGTCTGCCACCTGGATCTGGGGGCGTCTAGAGGTCCCTGGCCTGCAGCAGGCCCCTCCCTCTCACTCCATCTTCCTGAGCCAGCACCAGAGAAGCCTCACCGCCCCAAGCTTCTTCCCAAATATTTATTTATATCTCTGCTCAGTGAGCAGAGGTGGACCGCGGCCCCCGGGTGGGCTCCTCGAGCCCCTCTCCAGGAGACACGTCCATGTGCATCTCCAGCCCTGCCGGTAGGTTTGCCATCTCGCTGGGGCTGGACGGGTGGGCCAGATTCGGCTGGGAGAGGCGCCCCTCGGAGGAAACGGGTCTGTCTTTCCATTGATGAGAAGGAGCTGCAAGACAGGAGGGGCTGCAATCCCTGTCTCACTCCCCACGTCCACCAGCAGCTCACCCCAGCTTGCCCAAAGTCTAGGGAAGTGGGGAGCAGCCGCACTAGCCAGGCTGAACCTAGACCTGATGCTGGAGAGGGACTGGCATCACAGGGGGCTGTGCAGGGCAAGCCCTCACACATGCTCCTAAGCAAAGCTCCTTCATAATCTCTGTGAGTTAAAAATAAACAAGCCCTCCATCAGGGGCCAAGAGCCTGCCTCTTTGGTAATGTTTCCTCTATTAATACAGGGACTATTTGAGCAATATTCACACAAATAAGTGCAGGAATTTTTCCTAAGATCTCCCCTGACCTAATTGTTCCTCCCTCTCTCTCCTGCTCCCGTAACATTTTAAGTGCCCTTGGAGTAGACAGTGATGCACCAGGGAGAAGGAAGCTAAGTACCCCCAAGAAAATAGTTCTGGGAGCCAGGGCCACAGACTGGCTCTGGGGCCAGACAACTTGGGTTTGGAGTCCAGCTTTGATGCTTCCTAGCTGTGTGACCTTGGACAAGCACCTTAACCTCTCTGTGCCTCGGTTTTCTCAGCTATGAGTGAGGCCAACAATGGGTCCTACCATTAATCTTGGTGTGAGGATTAAAACTGGTCCATATGTGTAAAGGTCCTCAACAGGGCCTGGCTGGTGAGGAACCCTCAATAAAGGCGAGGTGCCATGACCACCACTATCCCTTACTCTGTTTCCACTTCCTCCAGGCACTCACTGAACGCTGGAACTGGAAGGGATGGTAAAGAGCATCTAGGGCTGGGGCGCTTAACCTGGGTTGTGGGGTCCTTGAACCTCCTGCAAGCGCCAGAAGTGTTGTGGGTACATAACTTTTTATAGGAAGAAGGTCAGCACCTTTCATTAGATTCTCATGGGGACCCTAACTCTAGCAGTGCTAATCCAGCACCCCTGTACTGACAGAGGAGGAAAGCGCTCTGGAGAGGGGGAGACTTGCTCAGTCACTTGAAAGTGATCCGGCCTTCTGGCTCCAGGCCAGTGTCCCTCTCTGGCCCCCATGTGTGGCCAAGCCCTGAGGGGCTCTTAGCCCCCTGGCTTTGAGGCAGGATTTAACCCCTCAGAGGAGAGCAGAGACTCTAGAGACCCTCCAGGCCTGGGGGCAAGGAGACAGGGTCAGACAGGGGTTCTCAGAGGTCATGTCACGGTCCTGTGCCCAGCAGCTGCCGTGAGAGGCTGTGCGCACCAGCTCCAGGAGGGTCAGGCCTGTGAGCTGGGAAGGCCTGGGGCTGGAGCCAGAGCCTCTGGCTCTGGGAAATAGGGGCGGCCACCCTACCCCTATTTCCTCTTCTGAGAGATGGGGACAGTCCTAGTACCTACCCCACAGACCTGGCACATATCAAGAACTCAGTAGGGCGAGTTTTCTCTCTCTTCCCTCCCGTCCCATCCCTCAGCCCCTAGGCCCTTACTCTCTCCAGGGAAATAAAGGCGTATACCAGCCATGGGCAGGAAAGCGGCTGGGGCAGGCAGAAGAGGCCCGGGGCAGTGCTGAGGCTTCAACCAGAGGGACACTACCTGAGTTGTTGCCCGCCGGCATCTGAGCGCTCTGAGGCCGTGAGGGCAGCTGGCTGTTGTCGCCAAGGGACAGTTGCCGGTGCACGTGGGGCCGGGACTGCTTGGCCTTGTGCTTTGTAACCCCTGAGGCTGATGGGGGACAGTGGAGGGAAGGGTCAGTTGTGAGACACTGAGTGAGAGCCCCATGGGGACCCATGGGGATGGGGAGAGGGCTGCAGGGCTGCTGGTCACAGCCAGCCTCAGCTGGGGTCCTTCTCAGGCTGAATTCATGGATATGCCCCTTATAAGCACTTCATTCATTCATACGTCTGTCTGTCCAACAACCCACCCACCCACTCAGATTCCTCTGAGGACCTACACACATCAGCCATGTGCCAGGGGCTGGGTGAGTTCTGACCCGGGTTTACAGTCCAGGAGGGGAGGCAGCTAGAGAGGTGCGTACATGGTGGTGAGACCTGGCACACTTCAGGAACGGCCAACTGACAGGGGGCATCCCAGGGAACGAGAGATTCACTGAGTGATGGGGGCTCAGAAGAGGGCATTTTGAGTTTTGAAAAAGTGTAAGACTTGGCTGCGGTGATGCTAGGAGCAGAGGCTGAGGCAAGAAAGCTGGTGGTGGCAGCATGAGGGGGAAAGTTGGCAAGAGATGGGGTCACAACATCCCGGCTAAGCAAACATTGACCTGGGGCTTTTGGAGACCTGAATATTTGGAGTCAGGGAGGTAGAGGGGGAAGGCAGTCAGGGTCTGGTGGCCCCAAGAAGTGCCTGGCCTTGTGGGAGCTGGATGGACTCTGTGGGACCCAAGCAAGGAGCCTGGGGGGCCTCTGGGCCACCTGGACACTCACTGTCTTTGTTCAGGATGCCCGGTAGCCTGGTATCCATCCGTCCCTTGTAAATATGTCCATCCAGGCCCAAGATATCCACCTCGTCATGCTGTGAAGGTGGGCCAGTATCCATTACCATGCGGCACCCAGAGCTCACCCTCCGGTCCTGCCTCCACGAGGGCCTGGGGCACAGAGTGCTGTTCTCTCCTGACTCCCAATACCAAATGATGCTTAAAACCCTGTCAGGAGCGGCAGGTGAAGGGAGGGCCCGCAGTGGAGGTGGTAGTGCCAGGTGGGCAGGTGGCCAGGATGGCCTTCTTTTTCCCAGCAAAGGATAAGAACCTGAGACTTTAACTGGGTCTGATTAAGAACCTCCCGCAAGGCAGACGGCCAGATGAGGTGACTTCTGGTGTTCTTTCCAGAATGCCTTGAGAATCTGGGGTCATGTAGGGCCCTCCAACCTTGTCCTCCCAGGCAGCGCCCCCCAACCTTCATGGCAACCTGGATCTCCTCGGTGGGGTACAGGCCCTGTGGCAGATGCTGCAGGCGGTTGCGGCGGTAGGGGTAGGTGAGGGTGTGGCTGCCCCCGCAACGCCGAGGCACGGTCGAGTAGGTGTAATCGGCCACATCGGGCACCCTGTGATGAAGACAGTGGAGTTGCTGGGAGCAGGTGTGACCTGGCACACACCTATGGTGGGGGCTGGCCAGAGGCATCTCTTTTCAGGGGTCTTTGGGAGCCAGGGGGCAAAGGGGGCCTAGGAATAGGCAGGTGAGAGGACAGAGCAGCCTCATGGCCAGGCCATCCTAAAGACCATATACTCTCTCTCTCTCACACACACACACACACATACTCATACTCACACACATATACATTCACAGTCTCACACATATGCATTCATACGCATTCACACACTCGCACACATTTACACACCCATACACATACACATTCACACACACACATACACTCCCTCTCTGTCAGGGCTTTCCCCAGCAGTAGGGTGAGGCCTTCACACGGCTGTGGGTGGGTAGAGCTGAGCCCCATGGCCAGAGGCCCAGTCTGTGCTGTCCTACCGTTTGTAGCAGGGGGAGCTGAGGCACTGGGCCTGCAGCAGCTCACGGATCATCTGGCTGCTGGCCTTGACCGAGCCTCCAAAGTGGATCTGCACCTTCTCGATGTCCATCAGCATCTTGGAGTGCATGGTACGCAGGCGCCCCACGCTCCGCTCCATCTGTGCCAGGTTGCCCCGAGGGAAGGAGGCGCTGCCTAGCTTCAGGCTGCGGGGCATGGGCAGAACAGAGGGGTGAGGCAGCCGCACCGCCCAAGCCCACACTCAGACAGAACCCCGGCCCACTCCACCCCTTTACCTGCTCCTGTATAAGCAGGACACTGTGTGGGCAGGAGCCCTTTCCACAGTACCTGAGGGCCCATGGCCAGACATGCCTGGGAAGGCTTCCTGAGATGGGAAAGTGCAGGAGAGCCAGATGGAGATACGCCTAGCTCCTCTGGCTATTGCTGGGGGTGGGAGAGCTGAAGTGGCCTAGCCGCTCCCTGTCCCTGCACACCTGGCCTCGCCTACCTGGAACCTCTAGGGCTCCAGAATGCAGTTTGAAAACCATCCTTACCGCTGAACCCCCATCCTTAGGAGGTGGAAATGCTGCAGGAGCCCAAGGGAGTGTGAAACGTGCCCCCCCCATCTTATCCCCCCATGTTCACTGAGCCGACCCTCTCACTGAGTGATGCCGGACCCCTCCCTTCCTCCCATGCCGGGGGTTCCTGAGACAGTGGAAGCATCTGGGGGGTGTGAGGAGGTTAAGAAGAGCTCTCAGAGGCAGCCAGCACCCTTGGCGACATCCCACCAGGACTCCCAGCAGGGACCCAAAGGCAACTGATTACGGGGCTTCACTCTTCCTCGACGCTCACGCCCTAGGCAGGGCTGGGGGCTAGCTGAGAAGTCGCCCTAGGGGCCCCCGAGGTTCCAGCCAGGAGGAGGAGCCCTCCACATGCCCTCCAGTCTCTGCCCCTGCCTCCCCTGCAAAGCCCGTGCGGGACCCCGCTGTCCGTACTTGCGGCTCTGCTGCCGGACCTGCTCCAGTTCAAAGATGGTGTAGGGGCGGAGGGAACGGTGCCTGGGCAGGCCTGGGCCCACCGGAGTCACAGGGATGATTCTGGGCAGGGGCAGAGAGAAGGGGAGGGTCGGAGTGTGAGAAATCCCATGGTCCAAACCTACTCCCCACTCCGCACATTCCACCTGCCTGAGGAGCCTTCCCGCCCAGGGCTGGGGTGAAGGACCGAGGGGTAGGAAGCAGTCCAGGCATCCAGGAATGGACCCACAAGAGAGGAGAGAAGGAAAGGACAAAACTTGGAGGCAGGTAGGGAATGGAGGAGATACAGCCCTGCTGTGCCCATCCCCATTACGGCCACCAGCTGGGGTCGGCCAGGTATGGGCACTCACTGTCCAGTCACAGGTGTCTCCAAGGGACGGTCACATGAGAGGCAGTGGAAATGTGCCAAGAGTTGCCTGTGAAGAATGGATACACACAGAGGGTGAGTGCCCTGCCCAGAGGGTCCAGAATGCGAGAGATGGAGAACCCAGAAGGGCATGGCCCTCCGCAGGCCAGGCAGGCTGGAAGCTCAGCTCACCAGGGTGGCAGGCTCCAGGCCCCCAGAGACAGATCTGGGCCCTGCTCCCCAGGAACATACCAGCTCCTAGACATGCCTGCTCCCGGGGACACGTCCAGCACCCACCTATCCTAACCCAAAGCCAGCAGGGTTCCAAAGGGCCCCTGAGGGGTGCCCTGTGTAAACCTCGGGGGCCCTCTGGCGGCCAATAATGGAAATCCTGGGATTCATGCCTGCCATGGGCCAGGTTCCCATGTGGTCCCCCTCCCTGTGCCAACCCATGCCCGGAGAGCCTTAGCCTTCCTCTCCTCCCTTTCCCTGCTGTAACATGAACTGGCCTGAGCTAGAAGAGCTTTTCAAGCTCGAAAATCCTGTCACTCCAACTGTGGGATGGTCCTGGGCAGGATCAGCCATTGCCCCGGAGCACAATGTGTGCTGGCAGGAGCTGCTCATCTGGGAACTCCCCAGCTCCCCACCTGCCCTCCCCCTGCAGTGTGTGCCAACCTCCCCTGCTGTCTTCTGGGCCTCACCTCCGCATGGCGGCTGCCTCATCCACCTGATAGAGTGGGGAACGCTCTTTCAGCTGCTGTCGCAAGGATTTCCACCTATCCTCCAGTAACTCCTTCACAGGGTCCAGCTCCAGGCGGTCCAGCTGCGGGTGAGGACGGGGGAAACCAGCTGAGCTCTGAGAAAGCAGGTGAGGGGTCTGCAGCACCCTGGGAAGGTGGCATTGACCCAATCCAGGGGGCCTGGAGCTCCTTCTGCCCCTCACCTTGCTGTCCATCTCTACCAGGAGCTTGTCCAGCATCTTCTGCCAGTCCTGCTCCTGCCCGCTCATCTTGGCCACCAGCTCCTGCATCATGTGGTTCAGCTGCTCTGTGGTGGCGTCAAACTGGACACGGCTCACTTTGGCCGCCAGGGCACTCTTGTCAGCCTTCTGCCCAGAGAGAGAGGAGGGGGCCCTTCAGATGGGAGAAGGACACAGGGGGACCTCACTCCCCTGAGGTGTCAACCCCTGACACTGAGCCCACATTCCCCCCATGGGCTCCCCTCCACTCCTGGCCTTTCGAAGAATGACCAGTGAGACCTCCCTGGACATGGGTGGCTCCCCTGGGCCCGGCCCTTACTGTGTCAATCTCCATCTCCAGGTGTTCCCTGTTAGCCTTTTCCTTCTTGAGTTTCTCTAGACCCTGGTACAACACCTGGGAGCAAGGGGAGCAGAGAATAAGGAGCAGGGAACTGAAAGGCTGGGGTGGGCGGGGTGGGGCCTCGCCTTCGCCCCCATCACCCTGCCGGCCGCTCACATCGATGTCCTTCTGCTTCTGCCGATGGTCCTCGATGAGGTTGCTGGTGGTGATATTGAGCTTCTCGCAGTCGCCCTGCACCTGCAGGATGGCACGCTGGACATGGCCCAGCAGCTCTTCATCCTGCAACAGGAGAGACAAAGGCAGGCTCCCTGAGGCTGCTGGGGTACCCCCAGGGGGATTGCTGCCCCTGAGAAGTTGGCTTTTAAAACATCACCCAGCAGACAGGCCAACTTCAGACCCCATTCTCGCTCTCCTCAGTTGGCTCCACAATTTCCCACCAACAGTAGGGAGGTTCACTACCCTTTCCACCTGCCCACCCAATGGAACACAAGCCTCAGTCCCCGACCTCTCCATGGGCTAGCCTTGAAGGACCAGGGGCGGCCAGTGGGGGTGATCAGTAGAGGTGATGGAGGTTCAGGAGTGGTGAGCTGCCCTGTGGCCCCTGAGAGTTGGGGTGTGGGCTACAGTCTCCCCACCTGCCCTGGGCTGAATCTGAATTCCAGAGTCCAAGAGGCAGGACTCAGGGACTTGTGTTGTGGCTCTCCCTACCCCCACCAGCAAGCCTGCTCTTTGCGGGGGAATCGGGAAGGGGTATCTGGAAAACTGGAGTGGGGGGAGTCAATGAACACTAAAGCTACACCAGTGTCCTCGAGCCAGGTGAATGGCACTGCTCCACCCCTCAGTCAGCTGTGCGGTCCCACTCAGTGGAGCCAGCTCTTCTCCATGGTCCCCTGTCCCCAGAGCTAGTTCTGTTGCTGCCCTTGCTGTGACCCCATGGAAGGACCAGGGACTCCACCATGGAAAACTGGCCCTTGGGCCCAAGTACCCCTTCCTTAGGGAACTCTATCAGCCACTCCCCACTCTGTGGGTCTCCGGGCTGTGGCTCCCCCTGTGGGGCACGTGCAGCCGCACCAGGAGGGAGGCCAGCCAGAGTCACCTGGCTCTGGAGCTTGGCTTTCTTGGAGGGCCGGGAGGCAGCCAGGTTGTTGACCATGTCCTGGAGCTGCTCGTAGCGCCGCACTAGCGTGCTGACCTGATGGCTCAGGTCCAGGCTGCAGGCTGGGCAGGTGGCCTCTGGGTCAATCTGGCCAGGTGCCAAGGTTGTCGGGGCCTTGTGAGGGGCCATGCTCATGGACAGCAGCGTGGAAGATGAGGTCAGCATGCTCTCGATGATTATCCTGAGCTTGTCTAACTGGGTGCGGGCGAGAAGGCAGGTGCAGGGCAGTGAGCAAGGCACGGCCACGTTCCGTCCACGCTGTCACTACTAGCGGGTGCTTCCTGCCCCTTGCCTGCTGTGACCCGAGCAGTCGTCACACCCTCAGTGCCTCGCAGAGTGTGTGGCACGTAGGAGGTGCTCGATGTCTGTCCATTAAATAGCGAACAGAGTTCTCAGGGAGTGTAGCACTAATGCTGAAGGAAGCCCTTGCAGGAGGGAGGTTTCTGGACCTTTCTCCAGCCGGCCCATTGGTGCACTGTGAGAACATATCCCCTCTAGAGTCCTAGAGTGGTGATGTCTGTTAGTCAGTCCCCAGACACTGCTCCAGGCCCTGGGGATGTGACGGGTGGGCTCCCCCGTGCTCTGTCCCCATCTAGCATGTGAGTAACAATAAAAAAAGTATTAAGAGCTACTACCACTACAGGGGCCTCTCGCACTGGGCGGGAACCAACTCCTCCCACCGGCCTTCCTGCTCTTTTCTGTACCCCATGGTCCCAGTTTTTCACCACAAATGATTGGTCCTGGATAGGCACCCGATTCAAGGGCAACCAGTCCCTGGACTGGCTGAAGCCCTGTGACGTGTCGCCTGGCTCAGAGGGGCCGGGCCAGGAAGTGGGTGACATTGCAGGGCCTGGGCAGCCATGTGGACCATGTGTGAGGGGTGAGAAAGCTGTTTGAGAGTAGGATGGAAGAGAGATGTGGGGGGTATTTGAGAGAGATGGATAAGGAAAGGGACACAGAGGCACAGATACACAGACACAAAAAGACAGGGAGGTAGAGGGACTGGACCAGATTGCCCACTCAGCCTGGAAGTTCCACTTTTTGCAGGCTCTTGTACATGTACGTACTCTTATCCCAGCTCCCTTTTGCCTGCGCTCAGTGAGACTCGGCTGCTTGTAACCAGGAGAGCCCTCACTCTTCTGAAGCGTCCACAAGAGCATGTCCAGGGGCACCTGAGATAAAGGGGACAGACTGACCCTCTCCACCAGAGAGGGAGGCACCTCCCCAAATATGGGCATTTCACTGAAGTCGTGAAGAGTGGGTTGCAGCCCTCTGGGTAAATGAGGCTGAGAAGGACATTCCAGGAAGAGGAGCCGCATGAGAAGGCGGCAGTGTGTGAAGAGAAAGGCAGGAAGCTAAGGTGGTGGGAGAGTCGGGAGTCTGGAAGGTGGTGCCTTGAAGAGGCTGCAACAGGAGGCCAGCCCTGCCCAGCTGGGAGTGGATTCTCTCTGAAACATGGCCCTGGGGGAGCCCTGGAGGTCGCTAAGCTCAGATGAGAGCTTTGGAATGACAGGTGACTCTCATATACTATCTGCGGCTCCTTGTACCCCACACAGGACAGTCAGCTCTGGGGGCACGAAATGGTACACACCACTGTTCCAGCAAACTCGAGAGTGGGCCCAGAATGGGGTCTCTAGCACAGAGGGGCTCCTGACATGAGCCCCCTGGGCCCAGTGGCTTTCCTATCTGATCCTCTGTGAGCACTCAGGGGGCCGTTCCTGGTCCAGACACTCCTTACTGAGAACACTCTGGGGTGACCAAGGATAGTATCATTCAAGATTTAAAGGCAGACACTTCTACTCACAAGAGAGTGAAAAGACAACCCATAGAATGGGAGAGAATATTTGCAAATCATACATCAGCTAACAGTCTAGTATCCAGAATATTAAGGAACTCCTACAACTCAACAATAAAAATACAAATAACCCAATTTTAAAATGGGCAAAGGATTTGAAAAGACATCAAATACCAAAGAAGATATACAAATGGCCAACAATCATTAGTCATTAGGGAATGCAAACCAAAACCATAATGAGATGCTACTTCACACCCATTACGATGGCTATAATTAAAAAAAAAAAAAAAAAAAGGAAAATAAGTGTTGGTGAGGATGTGGAGAAATTGAAACCCTCATACATTACTGGTGGGAACGTAAAAGGGTGCAGGCACTTTGGAAAACAGTTTGACAGTTCCTCAAATGGTTAAACAGAATTACCATATGACACAGCAATTCCACTCATAGGCATATAACCAAGAGAAATGAAAACATAATGTCCACACAAAAACTAATACATGAATGTGCCTACCAGCATTATTCATAATATCCAAAAGGTAGAAACAACCCAAATGTCCTTCAGCTGATGAACGGATAAATAAATTGTTGTATAGCTGTAAAATGGAACATTATTCAGCCATAACAAGGAATGAAGTACATGCTACAATATGAAGGAACCTTGAAAACACGCTAAAGTGAAAGAAGCCAGATATGAAAGGCCACATATTATGTGATTCCACATATATAAAATGTCCGGAATAGGTGAATCCATAGAGACAGAAGGTAGATTAGTTCCTGCCAGAGGCTGGGGGTGGGAAGGATGGGGAGTGACTGCCAATAGGTACAGGGTTTCTTTTTTTTTGCTTTTGTTTTTGTGAGGAAGATCAGCCCTGAGCTAACATCTGTGCCAATACCTCCTCTTTTTTCTTTTTTTTTTTTTCCGCTGAGGAAGACTGGCCCTTGAGCTAACATCCGTGCCCATCTTCCTCCACTTTATACGGGATGCCGCCACAGCATGGCCTGACACGCGGTGCCTCAGTGCGTGCCGGGGATCCAAACCCAGGCTGCCAGCAACAGAGCGCACACGCTTAACTGCTACACCACGGGGCCTGCCCCGGTACAGGGTTTCATTCCAGGGTGATCGTGGTGGTGGCTGCACAACTTTGTAAATGTACTAAGAACTACCCTGTTCACTTTAAAAGGATGAGTTTTATGATATGTGAGTTATATAATTTAAAAAGATAGGGGGCCGGCCCCGTGGCTTAGCGGTTAAGTGTGCGCACTCCGCTGCTGGTGGCCCAGGTTCGGATCCCGGGCGTGCACCGACGCACCGCTTCTCCGGCCATGCTGAGGCCGCGTCCCACATACAGCAACTAGAAGGATGTGCAGCTATGACGTACAACTATCTACTGGGGCTTTGAGGGGAAAATAAATAAATTAATTTAAAAAAATAAATAAATAAAAAGATAGGAAAAAAAAAGATTTAATGGCATCTAGACAGGCCTTGAAGAGGTGACTTTCCGTTGCCAGAGGGGATATACCTGCCCGTGTACCTGCAGCCTCAGAGCTGGTTTTGGATCAGGAGGGGCTGAACCCCTGATACAGTCACACCACACACACACACACACACACACACACACACACACTGATGAGTGGTGGGAGAGTAGGGCTGCCCCCACTGTCCACAGCCAACTCTGAGAAGGGGCTGGTCCCTGCGGCTGAAGAGTGTGGAATCCTCACCTGATCCTGAAGGTAAAGGGAGGCTTCAGAGACTGAATGTTCCATGCTGACCTTGCCCCGCTCTTGGCTCTCCCTCAGCTCGGCCAGCTCCTTCTCAATGTCAGCCACAGTGACTCTGCGTGCACAAGAGACGGCCTGGCCCCACCGCCAGCCCAGGGCCCCAGGCCCACTAGTGTTGAGCTCCAGCCATCAAGGATGAGGAGGACGCAGACCAGGCTCTTTCCCCACCTCTTGCAGGCTCTGTCTGGAGAGTCCAAGGCTCTGCCTGTCCTGGAGGCAGGTCCCCAGTGTCCTGGCCAGAGAGGCCTCTACTGGGTGAAACCTAACACTGCAAAGAGAGCTCTGAGGGGCCCTAGCGAGCGCTCTCTCCTCCAGCCTCCAGCCGAGGACAGAGACTAAGGAGGTTTTTTTTGGCTCTTCCAAGCCCTGGTGCTGGTGCTGAGCTGTTTTAAGAACCTGGGAAACTTCTACCAGCAACTTGAGCTAGATATGGGCAACCTGAAGAGCAGATATGATCCAGGTCAAAGATAGTAGTCAGTTCAGGGTATGAGTGAACCAAGGCTGCCATCACCTCCTTGGCTGAGAATAAGTGACACCAGGACACAATCTCCACATGGCAGGGGCATTTTACCTGAGGATACCCAGCTGCAAGCTCAGCTGGCTAGTTTTCATCTCCTTTCCTATTTCTTGCTCCCCGTCGCCCTCCAGGACCTTTTGCATCCTCTCCAGCTACAAACCCAATGGAAGAGGAGGGTCAGGCAGTCCTGAGCTCTCTGTTTTCTGGACGTGCCTCTGCAGCCCAAGCAAGCCCTTTCCCCATTCCCGAATCCTAATCCAACCCTCTGACAAAAACCAAGGTCTCTTCCTGACATCCATCTGTCTATCCATCCATCCCATGGTGTAGACAGGTGGCATTAAGAGAAGGACTGAAGACCTAGTAGCCTCCTGCCATGACTGCTGGCCCCAGACAGTCCCATGAACTTGGCTCCAAGGCTGTTCCGGTGACAGTGGGTTTTATTGGAAATGGCCACAGACCATAAAGGAGCACAGGCCTCCTTGTTGGCCAAATTGAATCTTAACAGCTTTGAGAGTCAGGTTTTAGACCCAGGAAATGAACGTGATGATACCTGAGGTGCATTTCCTATCTGACGGGATTGTAAAGATCCAGTGAGAGAATAATGTAAGTAGATAGGACTGTGGAACCCACGACAACACCAATGGAAGGTGGGGGTTACTGGCTCTCCAAGGCAACGGAGGGGGGCCTCTTTCACTTACCTTCGCTTTTTCCTGCCGAACTTCTTTGGTCAAGGTCTTCAAAGTCTTCAGCTGTTCTTGCAGGTCAGGGGGTATGGTCTTTTTGACTATGGAAAGTGGAGGCCTTATAGTCAGAAGGGTTAGATTCCCAGGGGGCTCCCAATCCCCATTTCTAGCCCCCACAATGAAGCCACCCCACAGAACAACAGGACATAGCACTAATCACGCTTTTCCTGGTGACTAGGGGAGGGGATGGGAAGAAAGGAGACAGCAATGTCCTGAGCCCGTGAAAAAGCCACCTATCGTTTAATATCCTAAAGGGCTTTGGGGCCACTGACCCACAATTTCTACCCAACTCTAAAATTGTAACTGTTCTCTGGGCCTAGAGCTGTGAATGGGCAAAGGTTAAGTTTAATTCTTCAACATTCTCTCTCTCCGCACACCCCCCAACTCTGTTGTTTTCCTTGCCCCAACATTTTTCCCAGCTGCATCCAGAGAGTCTGACAAAGGCATAAGGACCTGCCTCATTCCTTTCCTGAGGCTCCTTCGTCCCTCCTGGTTTAATTCTATCTTTTGGACCCTGAAGGCTAAAGGAGAACCCAGAATTCCTAAGAATGGGCCTGCTATTTTCAGGGATCAGGAAGAGGCCCAGCTGCCAGGAGTTGAGGCCAGGGGGAGAAAAGGGTGAAATCAACTTAGAACGAAGACGGCAGTCTCTCCTCTGCGCAAGCAGTACCCACCCATCAGTGCAAGCAGATACTGGATCTTCTCTAAGTCAGTTTGGCCAGCTTCCTCCTCATCCAGATCCTTCATGTTCTCCTTTAGCTCTACGTAGAGGCCGACGAGCTCTCCCATCAGACGAAATGTTTCCACTGCCATAGGGAAGCTAGGAGCCAATTTATCCAGTGAATCATGTCTCTCACTCTGGACATCACTCTTTTCTGATGAGACTCGGTCGAGATAGTTAAGGGAGTTTGTACTCCTGACAAAGGTGGCATCTTGGCTTGGGGTAGCCTGGATAGAGACTCCTGGTTGGTCTGAGGCATATGTTCGATTTGGATCCACATCTACCTGGACATACTGATCTACACCCTGGTACCCTGGGCCATGAGGGCCAGGATACATTAGGTCATAGGAGTCTGGGATAGAGTATACATGGTCACGCTGATCTGAATCTGGGCCAGGAGATACCAAATGCTGTTGATCTGGGTGTGCAGATCCCACACCTGTGCTTAATGGTGTTGGACTAGGCTGGTCTGCGCCAGGATGCATCACACCTTGCTGATAAGTTTCTGGTGGTACCAAACCCTTTTGGTCTATACCTGGCAATGCCAAATCTTGATTGGCCAGGAGTTGTGACACCTGGCCATGTTGATCTCTGCCAGGAGGTACCACACCATGCTGATATGGGCGTGGTGATATAAAACTTCGAGAATCTGCATGGAATGTTGGAAAGCCACGAAACTCTGTGCCTGGTGGTATCAAGCCTTGTTGATCTGTACCAGGTTGCCTCAAACCACGCTGATCTATTCCAGGTTGAACCAAACCACGCTGATCAGCACCAGGCTGCACAAAACCACGTGGATACGCACCAGGCTGGACCAAACCACGAGGATAGGCACCAGGTTGGACCAAACCTCGTGGATAGGAACCAGGGTGTACCAAACCAGGTGGATATGCACCAGGTTGTACCAGACCAGGTGGATATATACCAGGTGAAACCAAGCCAGGCATATATATACCAGGCTGAGAAAAGACATGTGGATCTATGCCAGGCTGTACCAAACCACGCTGATCCACTCCAGGTTGCACAAAACCAAGCTGACCTGCACCCTGTTGGACCAAACGAGGCTGACCTGAGCCAGGCTGGACCAAACCAGGCTGACCTGCGCCAGGCTGCACCAAACCAGGCTGACCTGCGCCTGATTGTACCAAACCAGGCTGACCTGCACCAGGCTGACCTGCGCCAGGCTGCACCAAACCAGGCTGACCTGCGCCTGGTTGGACCAAACCAGGCTGACCTGCACCAGGCTGACCTGCGCCAG